CTCTCCTTTGTTTCCTATTCCCTTCCTACCATCTACTGCAGTGGTAGACCAAAAGCTTCATCAGTAGTGATCCAGTGATGGTGCCCCTTCTTTTTCACCCTACAGTACATCTCTATGACAGTACAATTCAGTGTACTATATACTGTCTCTCCACCAATACTACTGAGTTCCTTAAAGTTGGCAATAATGTCTTGTTATTTATGTCAGCATTTCCAGGACACCTATTCTTACACATAAGCAAAGCTCAATAAAAGCTGTGTAACATTAATAAATACCCATTTTATATTATCTGGATTAGGTTTATATTTTATGGACTTCAACCACCTTGATATTACACCTTTTAGGAAAGTGGACAGCCAAGGATTCTCAGGATCAGGAAAAAAAGAAAGGGATTATTCAAGAAAGACATGTTGGGAGCTAGGCTTAATGGCACTGATATAGCAAGTATAATGCCATCCTGGACTACATAGCAAGATTCTGCCCCAGAAATTAAAATAAAAAGATACTTGATCCAGGTATCAGCAGTCTGTTGGCTGGTCAGGCATCCAGGAATGGATAAAAGAAATCCAAACAACAACAACAACAACAAAAAGACACCTGGGCTGGGGATCTAGCTCAGTAGTACCTGCCTTGCATGTCTGTAACTTTGGATTCAATTCCTAATATTGCAAAAATAAAACAAAATAAACAAAAAAATTATGACAACAATAACAACAACAACAACAAAAGGGACACTTATCAAACACTCTGAGCCTCAGGCAAGCATCAAGCAACAAATTATGCTCTAAAAAATCCAGTGGTCATGAAACAGGTAGGCCTCTCACCCGGACTAGTGAGCAAAGATGTTATACTGAAAGCTAGATCAATACCACTGACGCTCAGAGTCACATTAGCTCCACTACATCAATGCCTTTCAAATGTTGATTACACTCATAATAAAAAAAATACATCCTGAGACACCATTTAGTTCAGATATAGACATTTCTGATTTTTATTATTATTATTATTATTATTATTATCAGGGCCAGGGGCACTGTCCCTCACTTCTTCAGGTCAAAACTAGCTCTTTATCACTTGAGCCACAGTGCCACTTCTGGTTTTCTGAGTGGTTTATTGGGCTGGCTTTGAACTGCTATCTTCAGATCTCAGCCTCCTGAGTAGCTAGGATTACAGGTGTGAGCCACCGACACCCACCTTTTAATTCTGTTCGATTTCCCCTTAAAAATATACATTTATTTATCTATATATCCATCTTGACATTCTTAACTGGTTTTATGGCTCAAAGGTAGAGAAGACTTCTCTAAGAGATGTTATTTCCAAACTTTCTCTAGAATTTCAAGGTATAATTCCTAAACATTAATTGTTTTGTATACAACAAATTTTTATGCTAACAGGAAAAAAAAGTAGAGTACTACTAAAATAATCCACAAAATCAAATAACCCACAAAGACAAACATGCAGCCATCACAGCTGAGGAGTGGGAGGAAACTAAGCCTAATCTGCATCAGCTTTCCCTAAAGCCACCCCCAGTAAATACCCAATCTAAGGGAAAGAGCATTTGCTAAGCAAAACCAGCTTGACAGCAATTCCCCAGGCACCCCAATTCCCTGCCAGCCGGACTCTGGCCCAAAAGACTCAATTCAATACAGACATTCTGGAGCTTCTACTTACAATGATAATCTTTAAGCTGTTTTATGTACAGAGACTTTAATCAAATGTGTTTGAAGGGCAATGACTTTATTAAAATAAATGAAAATTAAAAAAACAATTTTAAATAAGTACATTTTGTGCAAAATCTCTCTGAAATTTCCCAATCTTCACTTAAACTGGTGGGAGGGATGTACTGGTTAACCCTAAATCCAAATAAAGCATGCAGAAGTTGATCATTAGTTAAGCAAAGGCAGAAAGACCAGAAAAATCCCTTTTTCATCTTTGAGTTTCAATCTCTGAGAATGCAAACTAAGTACAAGACAGTTCATTTAATTTCTTGGGTACACTGACCTCCCATTCCTCATCTAAAAAGCATTTCTGTAATGCTTTTGTAATGTTTGTCTCAAATTCAGAAGCAATTTTGCATGACTTTATAATAAATCTTCCTGTATACCTAAATGAGTTATGTTCATTTGTTTGCGACGTGAGGATCAAACCTAGGGCACACCAGACAAATGCTCTGCCACTAAGTTGCACCTCTAGTCCAGAACTCTGTTTAGAATAGAGACAGGTGTGCTTTTTTAAGATAAAAAATAAATTCCTAATGAAAAAAGTTCCAATTATTGCTTATTAGCTCTATCAAGTGGAATGATACAAGTGATGATATAATCGTTCTGTATCTGCACTGTCCACTAAGTGGCCAGCAGAAAGCCTCCAAGTACTAAGCATTTGAAATGTGGTTGGTGTAACTGAATTTCAATGTTATATTTTAATTCATTTAAGTTTAAATAATCACATTATCAGTGGTTATCGATGTAGGTTAGATAATCAGTCTAAGTCTACAGCAGAACAGCTGAATAATTGGCTTGTCTTACACATTTTGAAATGTCACAAGCTAAAAACTTGATATCCTAAACTAACGTTCAATTTTCAGTTTCCTAATTGCTATTTTAAGGCTTCTCATGAGTGGTTCCTGAACAGTATTTTGGCAATTTTTATTCTAAAACATGGACATACTAATTCTGCTGTGCAGAATTCTTTTGGAACGTTCAGTCTTCCATCTGTGAAAACTGGGGTTGGAGAAGAAAAACAATAACAACAACAACAAAAACCAAATGTACCATCTTCTGTATACCAAGAAGTTAAATACATAGAGCAAAGGAAGGCTGATTGTAACCCCTAAGATACTTCTTATGGGTACACTCCCTCATCAATTCTTGGGTAGGTTGGCATCTTTACACCTGGTTGTGACTTTCAACAAATTTCATCCATCCAGTTTTTGATCTGTTGACTATTTTAATTAGACTATGACCAGACTCTCTAGCATCAACTATTCTGCTTATGGGAAAACCACTTATAATATACACACTAAAGTATTCTACATTTGAATGAGAAACTGATCAAATTGTCAAAACACAGTAGCCTGAAGAAGAGTAAAAGCTTCAGAGAGACTAAGAATACAGATCATGCCAAGAGCACTTTCCAAGCAAGTGGGGAAGAGGGAGAAAGTTGCAGTTCTGTAGTCAGCAAGGAAGAGATACCTCGTGGAAGTACACTTAAAAATACATTGCAGCTGTGCTATAGCCAAAGGGTAACTAACTTCAGTCAGCAGTACTGTATTCTCCACAACCTCAAGGTCAATGACTAATTTTTTCATCTTCCTATCACTCATACATAAATATATATAACACACATAAACACTGGCACTCATACATAAACATATCACTCATAAACACAAACACTTCAGCAACTGCATCACATTTAAATAGAATAAACAATCAGAATCAGTTTCTAAGAAGATTATAAGTTCAAATCAAACAAGCAAGTTTAAGTACGCTGTGTAAAGAAGAGAGCCATCAGATATTGCATAGCATATTAGGCAAACTATATTAAGCAAAGCTACTCTTAAGACAGCACTGTGAGTCAGATAAGAATTCAGCAGCATAGCACAGACTAGAACTTTCCTTTATTCCTCTATCACTGTTACTGGTACCATGAGGTCCTAAAAAGGTTTAGAAATCATCTACTATTTCCAAGAGTATTAGAATCTCAAGAAGACCAATGATAAGGAAGTAATGTATACACTATCCCAAGGACTTCAGTGCTTGCAGATTTCACAATACTATTGGGGGGGGAAGAGGGGGGAAGCTTCATCTCAAGCATTCTGACATAGCAAGAGTCTGCCAGACTCCCTAAAAGCTGTGTGCTGTCAGTCCTTTTCTCCTGGGTATGGACAAAATCTGCAGATGCAGTTTGGGCAGGAAAGAGGAAGACAGAATTTAAAATGGAGAACGGCATGAAGCCTGACACTGAAAGCATGTACCCTCCTCACTTTTCCAACCTATGAACTGCAAATTATGGCTGACTTGACTTCTGCTGCATGACCACTAAGCAATCTATCAGTTATACATTTCTGTGGTTCAAACCTACAGGTCTGATAAGCTCTGCACACCTCATAGCTTTCTTCATTATCCTAATTCCTAGAGAAAAATATCAAATAAGTATAATAAAATAGTATTGTCAAGGTAGAAACAGAAGCTCTCAGAGAACCTAAGAAAAATAAACGCTACTTCTCATATTTAGTTTTATGAAAGTCTCCTTCAGAACAGTCCTACTCCTGTTCCCTAAAATGCAATTTAAAACCTGAAACAGAAATCTACTTAAAGACTTCAAGAAATAAGTTAGCTTAACACAAAGGGATGTAAAGTGTAAACAAAAGAGGAGGCTGCAATGCTTGATAAGAAATGTACTCATTATCTTGCCCATGTAATTGTAACCCCTCTGTACAGTATGTTCACAATAAAATAAAATGAAAAATAAAAAAAAGTTAGCTTAACACAGATAATTTTTATAACTTAATACTCTCAAGTGGGATAAAACATAGATGCTAGAACACAAAAGAAGCATGCCTAACAGCAAAGATCTCCCTCTTTTTTTTTTTTGGTTTGGCTTAAAATGTCAACACAGTACAATATCACATTCGATGAAAAAAAGCACTTATTACACTGTTTCAGCACAAGCACAGAGCCCAGTTGTCTTTCTAAACTCCCAGTACTATATATCTCACTCCTATTCTTCCAAGAGCTTTCACAGACCAGTTTTAATAAATGAATGTCAATCACATAAAAAATTCGAGGAACTTATCAATACTTAATTATGAAATTACACTTCTGAGAACATCATGTTTCCTCGTTGAGAAACTGGAGAGCACTGTCTTCTATTTATTTGTTCAATACTGAAAGCATAAAAGCACCTTCAACCCAAAGCACCAATCATGGCTCCTGACTTAAAACATAACATTGCATTTTTTTTCATACGCATTCCACAAAAGTACTTTTTTCCGCTCTTACCTGTATATCCAGCATACCATCCCCAGGAGGCCACCATTCCTAAAAGCCATTTATACATGATTCCTTCTATATGCCAGAACCGCTTGCTGTCCAGCACTCGAAGGGGCTGCAGTATAATCACATAGCAGATGTAGGATGGAATAGCCACCAGGTTGTTGACGACCATGAAAGCAAATCTCATCAGGGCTTTCACCCACATCCAGCCTAGCCACGGAGCTTCTTCCAAAGTCACAGCCATTCTCACACTGGAGTCCATCCTGTCTTTCTGGAGATGAAAAGAACATTCATTTGAAAAGGAACATGGGTGAAACACCTCTAAAAGAGTCAACGGCGCACAAAGTCGCCTCTAGCACAAAAATAAAATAAAAAGAGGAAGGGGGGTTGGGGGGTGGGGAGCGAGGGTCTTAAGCTTTTCTGGGTGTAGTACCTCAGTGATCTCTAAGGAGAAATTCCAGAGGGGGACAGAGAGCCCGAGAGGAGGAGCCGCACAAGGTCAAGGGAGCTGTTCACCGGGACACGGGGCACGTCACATTGAGCCAAGGCTAATATAATTCCCACTCACTAATTGATGGCGATCGCCGCACCGCGTCTCACTGCGGTGGTCCATTTGGGACTTTAAGGAAGAAAAAAAGAAGAAGGAAAAAGGAATAGAGCCACTTGCTCAGTTAGCTCCCGAGTGACGACCCCGGGGACAGGAGCCAGGCTGAAACAGGGACCTCGCGATCAGAGACCCGGAGAACCGGGGTCCCCCGCCGCCCCCATGCCTGCACACTGATTCGGGCGTTTAAAAGGTCTCTGGCATCCGCAGATCTCTCATTTGCAGCAAGGGGGTGGCGGGGGGGGGGCAGATGTTTGTTGCTTCCCCCCCACACCAAGTCCCCTCAAATTATAACAAGAAAGGGGCCTAGGGTGGAGAAGGGGACCAGGTGGGAGGAAGAAAGCCGGCAAACGAGGCGAGAAGCCGGCCGAGCGGGAGGAGGGGGAAGGGAACCCGGGGGACGCGGGGCGAGGAGAAGATGCCCCGGCCGGCCCCGGTCCGCCCGGAGAACCGGGAAGCGAGGGATGGGGAGCGAGCCCGGGGAGCGGAGGCACCGGCCGTGCGCGGCGGGGAGACGCAGCGGTTTGGGCGGATGAGGCTGAGGACTGGGGCGGCGGC